GTCTTCTTCACTATCAATATCATCAGCTAACTTTTTTTTTTCTGCTCTACTAGTTTTGCACTTAGCACATGTTTTATATATTTTGTTCTCATATACGAATTCTTCAGGAGAAAGTTGACGATAACAAGAGCTACAGATATTCATTAGAATGAATTGCAAAGTTTGATGTTTGAAATATTATTATGAATCTTTTTTATTATGAACGAGGCTTTTATAAAAAGAAATTTAATATATTATATAATTTATGAAGTAATTATTAAACAATTTCAAAAATTTATTGTCTGATTAATTTATTTATTTTATCAAATAAATTAATAACTTCAAATATATGCTTGCACAAGTATATTAGTCAGAGTACCAAAAAGTCAATTACTATTATCAAAACAAGATTAGTCATTAACTAACTAACTACCTTCTAAAAATATTTCAGTTTATTAAATTACGAAGTATAATTATACAACTTTATTATTTTATAATTTTGTCTAGTAACTTCAATCGGATAAACAGCAATTATACAATTGTTACTGGTGATGACTTTGCAAAGATTTTTATTTATTGCAGTTTGCAAAATTATGTAAAATTTGCAAATCAAAAAAAAAGAAATTGATAATTTCTAATTTCTGATTTCTTTACTATTTTTTTAGACTTTTATATTAGACCTTTAGATTAGACTTTAATTACATTATAGTCTAATTAAAAAGTCTAAAAAAATATTAAAAAAATCAGAAATCAGAAACTATCGATTTCTTTTTTTTTTGATCTGCAAATTTTACATAATTTTGCAAACCGAAATATTGAATTTCTTTAAGGAATTAAAAGGTGATAGGCAAATAGTTTTTGGTTAGGTAATAATAATATTTTTTATTCTTTGCTTCTGGTCAAAAAAAATAAATTCGTGAGGTGAAAACAATAAGGCTCTGACTACTAAAATTAGGGATGACGCTAATATGTGAGTACTATATAATACATTTTAAACCTATATTATTTTTTATAATAATACAATAATTTATTTATTAATTTATGCTTATAGTTCTATGATATTTTATTTAACAGGAAATTAAAACTATTAATGGTAAAGAAAAAAGAGTAATCAAATTATTACAAGCTGAAATCAAGCAACTAAAAAAGCAAGTGAACGGGAAGGAAAAAGAAAAATATAAACCATATTTATAGAATAATACAGTACTTTACGTTTAAACTTTAATATCTATTTATACTATTTAAGTATAATCGTCAATTTCTTAATGAATTACTTCAATATTCACTTATTAATTTATTCAATTAAAAAAATTTAACTACTTTAATAGACAATAAGAATCAGTTGGTATCTAATCTAGTACATGTATATTTAATACTAACACATCGGTTTCTGTAATCTTGATAATTTGGGTTTTAAAACCCTAATTAATAAGGCTCAAACTTTAACATTTAATTTCAGTTCATATTTTCTATTTTAATAAACAAAATGTTAGCTTATTTTAATTAGTC